TTAGTTGGAAAAATACACAAAACTTCTTTAAGCTTGGTAGCCAAAATCTCAAATATGCTGTTGTCATCTTGTGAAACTATCTTGTCTTATACATCCCAAATTTATCTGGCTGTTAGAGAATTCTCATATTGTTAATTTACGTGGGTGGCTTCATGTTTATTAGCAGTGTAATTTTGATTTCCTAATGAAATGAGGCCTAATGGAGAAGTATTTGCTAGCTAGTTCCCTCTTCTGTTGTGGATTCCAATTCAGCAAGAGTAACTTTTACAACCTAAGAAACCTTATACACGCAACTAAAAGAGAACACAACACTTTCCAAGAGAATGCCTATATGGTTTTTGTAGGGAGGTCATTTTTCTGTTTTTTGTTTTTTCTTTTTCGAGACAGAGTTTCTCTGTGTAGCTTTGGAGCCTATCCTGGCACCAGCTCTGGAGACCAGGCTGGCCTCGAACTCACAGAGATCGGCCTGCCTCTGCCTCCCGAGTGCTGGGATTAAAGGCGTGCGCCACCAATGCCTGGCCATTTTTCTGTTTTAATTAATTAATTGTTAGTGTGTGCATGCGTGGGTTCATGTGAGGCCAGAGGTCAATGCTGAGTATCTTCTCCAGTAGCATTCCATCTTATCCTTTGAGATTGGGTCTTTCTACTGAACTTGAAGCTCACTGCTATTGCCTGCCTGGCGAGTCAGCAAGACCCAGAGATCCTATGATCTCTACCACCAACCCTGACCATAACATGAATGCTCAGAATTGAACTCAGGTCCTTAGGCTTGAGTGGCAAACACTTTACCAACAGAACCACCTCCCCAGTCCCATGTTTTACTTTTAAAGGGTATATTGAATGCAGAAGAGGTGTCAGAAGGATGTCTTCATACAAGTAAGTACATAATGTACTTTGATCATATTTCCTCTCAGATACTTCCTCTTCTAAAGCCCCCTGTTTAAGACCAGTGAATAAAAATCCAGTTATAACCTTTTTTGGGACAACTAAATTCCAGTTTCTTCCCAAACATGCATAAATGACAAAACAGTGAAACACGTTATTCTATAATGGGGGTCACTAATCAAGAGCCTGGAGCTCTCACACACCAGATGCTGGCTTCAGAGACTGTTGCCATGCAGTTGGCCTAGGAGGCTTTTTAATGTGCTTTCAAAACCCAAATTGCTTGCTAACATTAACAAGTATCAGAAAGTGAAATTTTGATTTTCTTTTTTACATTGTCTTGAACGAGTCAGAATGGGTCAGTGTTCCCATACAGGATATTCTTTGGTGTGGACATATGTCTGAGTCCAAGAGGTGCTTGGCATATTCCTGACACTGTTTCTTTCTGTCTTCCATGTCAAGTGGGCACTGCCAATAATCCTCACTACTCATGCATCTGTGCTTCTATCAGCAAAGCTGGGAAGTTCAGAGTGGCTAGCACCCACTTCTCAGGCCAGAGTGGGAAATGCAGGATAGTGTAATAGATGAAAATTATACCCAGGAGAAAAGCAAAAGGTGAAGGCACTGCCATATGACCTGGGTGGTCATGAAAATCAAACAAACAAACAAAAAGCAAAACCAAAACAAAGCATTTGGCCCAGGCTCTCCCCTGCAGTACCTGAGTCAAACCATGACTGCGCCACTCTTTTCAACAGGAGGAAGGGGCTTGGTCTCACACTTTCTCTACTTTGCCAGTGGGAAGATTTGTCTCCATGACTCTACAAGCAAAGCTTAACACATGGCCTTTCCATGCTTGTACAATTAATTTCTGTTTTGGAAATAAGTTAGGGGTGACTAGATTTGAATTTCTTATTCCCACATCTGAAAATGCTAAATAAATATCTAAGTACTCTCTCCTTTTCAAAGCTTTTTTAAAAATCTGAATTCTATACACTTAGGGTAGAGTCAAGACTAATAAAACCTAGAGAGTTCATTTGGAATAGCAGCAGTGAATGAAATTTGGGGAATTGTATATTATTTTTTTGTAATTGATGACTGTATTCTGAGAGATGCTGGCTGTCATAAAATGTGTCCCTGCTTCCCTCCCTGGACAGAGTTTAACATTAAAGAAAGAGCTCTGAGATATTCTGTAGAGACCTTCAGTGGTTCAGAAGTGCATCCACTATTTCTTTTAGCATTTGATGCAACCGTCTCTCCCTGGTGTTTGCTCTCTTCCAGGTTAGCATTTCAAATCACTTTGGAGGAGGATGGAAATGCTGAAATGTTATATACCTATCACATTTTTATTGATCTTTGGACAATTTATATTCTAGAAGTGAGTCATAGCTTACGGTAGTTCCCAAGAAAGAGCTTTTCCTTTGGATTTCAGAGATAATATTCTAAAACTCAGCAGACTGTTTGACCAGGCTACTGCTGTGGAAATATTCAGACGTCACTCATTCCTTTAGCCTCCTTAAGCTTCAGGGAAACCTTATGAAATAATATGTAAGTAGAGATTACTAAGCAAGGGACAATTAATAAGCATAAGCTGTCTTTTCACTTGACTTAGCAGAGCAGGAAATAAGTCATACACAGACTGTATATGAAATCAGTATTTACTAAATGCCATGAATCTAGAAAGGTTGTTAAGTTTCTGCCTCTGGTAGTACTTTGTGGATAAATACTGCCAATTACACTTGGGTATGTGACAGCCTACTGATTTCTGACTATTTTATTAAGAAAGAATGCCTGCTGAAGCTCACTGAAATGAAATACAAATGGGCAACTGTTAATTCCTAAAGGTTGTCCCCCTGAGTAATCAGACTATGTCTTCTTCCCAGGTGACTACAGATGCATTCTCTTGCACTTTTTCATCCATGGTTGTTGGGTGAGTGTTGTGGATGCCATGCCATTTCCTGGGATTGGAGCATATTCAATGTCCAATTTTCAAAGCTTGGGCCTGGATTCTGACAGGGTCTCAATAACATGAATATTCAATGACCAACATTGCTGAGAGGCAAACTTAACCTCCCCATGTCCAGGCAAGGGGTCTCCTTGTTTACATGTCAATATCAGCAATCACTTGGGTGTGCCACTTCTCTCTGAAGTCCTTTCCATTGACCAGAAATTAGATGCATTAGAAAAGGGTTGAGTAGGTATCTCAGACTAGAACACTAACACATTTTCAATCCACTTGTTTAAAACTCACACATTCCCAACCATGTCTGTGGACTATAGATTTTCAGCATGTCCCCATAATATATAGGAAAAAGGCCTGTAGAGTCAACATTATGATAAGAATTTCAGGAGAAATAGCTACAGGGAAATGAAAGGGTTACCTAAGAAAAGAGTGTGTGTGACAAAATGGCTGATGAAAGCAACTTAAAAAAAGGACAGCTTAATTTTGGTCCCTCTGGTTTTATTTCCTGGTTGCTGAGTGCTTTTGTCTCTGTGTGTGGGTGGCACAGAACACCATGGCATGGAATGTGCCACAGGGCAAAGCTGCTTACCTCGTGGCAGCCAGAAAATAGAGCAGAATGAGAGCAAGGGACCAGGCATAAGGCACCCTTCTGGTGCACATCCTCCAATGAGGCACCAATTCTTAAATGTTCTCTCCCTCCTCCTTGTCTCCCCTCTCAGTAACTAGTCTCTCTCTCTCTCTCTCTCTCTCTCTCTCTCTCTCTCTCTCCATATATATATATATATATATATATATATATATATATATGTACTTCTTCAATTGTTATCCAACTTAGTTATTGAGACAGTTTTTCAGAGAAACTGGAGTGTACCAATTCAAATAGAATGGCTGATCAATGAGCTCCAGGGATCCAAACTCCAGTCTTCATGCTCATGTGGCAGGCATTTTAATGGCCAAATCCTCTTTCCAGATCTCCAACTCCTAGTTTCTACCATTTCTCAACAATGTGATCAAATTTTGAATCTATTACTGGATTGCTAGATAAATACACTTAGAGAGCTCCTGATGCCATTATTGCCTCAAAGCCCATCAATAGGCAACTCAATCTATAACACACAAGCACTTGGCAGAAATTTCAAATTCAAAATATAACACTTTATATTCCAGAGCTCTTTAAGACATGTTTCCAGAAGGACACATCTGGACAAGACAGGACCACACATGGATCTGCTAAGGGAGATTTTCAAGGATATGAAGTGTAAGTCTTTGAACATGAGTATTCACAAAGATAGCTTTTGATATAGCAAAAGAGACTATATTTTTCTTTGTTTGAATTCTGGAGCCTACATGGTCCACTGGGCTTTGTGTATAGCAGTGTTCATAGTACGTTTGGTGTGGTTGTGTGAGGAGAAATGAATCTTGAGAAGCAAATCAGAATAATTTGCAGTGGTAACATGGCTATCATTGTCGGGGAAAGAAATCCTGTATGAGTTTGTGACATTTTTGGTCAGGTATCTCTGCTACACTTTGTTTATACCAAAACTTTGTGCTGGGAGGCAAAGCATTGCTGGTGGTGGTTGGGTTATGTGGTATGTCCAAGACACAAGACCAGTCAATGTTGTTTCTCTCAGCTACCCAGACTTAGGAACTGTTTCTGCTTGCCTTTCCACTTTCCACCATGAGTGGAAATAGCACTGCTATAGGAGAGAGCTGTCTCAACCTCCCAGCCAGCAGGAGGTAGGTCGCTGCACTACCCTGAGCTTCTAAGCAGAGTCCCCGCCACAGGCCCAGAGCAAGAGGCCAAGGGACTGTGAAGTGAAACCTTCATGGTGAGAGCCAAAAGCAATTCTTGACTCTTTTAAAGTTGTTTTCTTAGAGAGTTGGCAGAAAGCAACTAATACAAACTCTGATGATATAAACAGAGAATTAAAGAAAAAAATTTTCAAAAAGACACCAAACCCTTGGCTATTTGCCCCCTTATTTACCTGGACTATGTGACATGCAGTATAGGGAACAAAAGTATAACAAACCATAACTTGGCTGTGATATGCTTTCAGCAGAACTTTTGTGGCACATTCATACTGAGTCACAGACAGGCTGTTTATTTGGGAATAAAGACATGAAAATTTAGAAGAGAAAATGATGTGCAATCAGTAAATGTTGCAATTATAAAACCTTTATTTCACTCTTACTTCAATGAAATCTTTGTAAGCACCATGTCATGGGCTGGCGACCTAGAAAGAGGAACCTGGGATGCTTCAGTTAGCGGATGGTGTGAAGTCATAGCCATGTGTCACATGTGAATGAGACCACACTTAGAAAAGTCATGGGGAAATCTCATAAAAGCAGGCAACAGGAATCGGGCATTGATCTGTCCACACTTTCTATGGTAGGAATCCAAAGCTTGTGCTTGGGAATATCAAAAAGGACATTGTGCTACCTTGACAGTTTACAGTTTGCAAAAACTTGCCCCTGAGAGCTTCAGTGTTGCCATCTCCTGTTCCAGAACAGGACAAGGCCACAGGCTCAGAAGCCCAACTTCTTTAAAGTTTAAAACACTTCAAGGTGTTCAACACTGGGAAAGCTAACCACAATGTCTTCTGCTGTGCAGATTTCTCCTATGTAATCATCAAGCCATCATTTACCTAATGAACACTGGGAAAAACTACATTTTCAGCAAAACATTTTAATTTGGTCCTCTATTCAAAGACAATTGCCAAGATGTTTTACATAAATTTAATTCACAAGCATGTACACAAGGTAACCACTACAAAGAACATTGCTTCTTGGTTTATGAATAAAAAGTTTATCCTCTACTTACACTAAACATACAAAAAATAATCTACAAAAATTGTTTACCATTGATTTCAGCTAAAGAAAAAGCTTTCTTCTGAAACAAAAATGATTGTGTGGTGGTAGTATTTTAGCCATCAAAAAGTAATGTAAGTAACCAATAAATATAATGTGCTTCTTCCATATAGACATATTTACACTTGAGTCTTTGGCTTATGGTATTTTCTAAAAAGAACTTTAAATGATCCAGCCATCATTGCACATTAAAAGAAAATAAGCCAGTTTTATATATATATTTATATATTTATACATTTATATAGAGCTCTGCTACACTTTGAACATATAAAAATGAAATTTACTATGAATTTGCACAGCTTTTGTTTTCTTCCCCACTTTAAGGTTCCACAGCTATTTTTTTTTAAGGGAGGGAAATGGAAATGCCACTTTCAAAAGTACATGCAATGTGGGGTAGCTGCTCTACTGAAAGCGGGAGAGAAAAGGCTGCATGGTCTCTGTACAGACACTGACCACTTCTCATCAGAGTCTGCCTCTTAATAAAGATAATTTGGGTGGCACAAAATGTGGATGCTCTCATACAGGAATAGAAACCGATCAAGTCCTTTTTATTAAGATACACAACTTCATAAGAAAAATACGTTTGCCTCTCCAATGTAAAAGCCTCCCACCCCCCACATTAAAATCTCTCTGTGCAGGTGTAACAGGTACAACAGTTGCTGGCTCAACAGACGAATGTGTTTCTTCTTGGATGCTCTGCAAATAGCCTCACCTAACTATGAGGACTCCAGGTACTCCAAAGCCACGTCATAGCAGAACCGATACTGCTCCTGCAACATGTTAGAACAGAAGGGATGAAAATAGTTAGCAAGAGGCTAATAGTGAAGAATAGCATGTGTGGGAATTCTTGACATCCAATTTAGATTATTTAATAGTTGCAAATTACTTATTCTGTATATAACAGGAACATCTGCGCATACATATTTTATACTGGAGTCTAATGATCCTTGCTTAAGAATAAGGAGCAACAATAAAAAAGATGTTTCATCTTTGCCCTGTATTTTCTATCATTTAATATAATGTCCAGAATTTTTATGTGATTAAAATAGTTACACTTCCTCATCAGAAGGTTTCCCAGTTTACAAAATGTAAAGAACCAGAACAAGAGCTGACATTAGAAGCAACTGTTAAAAATTACCTTTGTTTACCTCGGTCATTTTTAGTACATGATTGAAACAATAATTATCTCAGAGAAAATAAAAGCACCATAGTTCACAAGATGATTTTTTGTGTTACAGTTTTATGTCACACAATCCTGAGTCTTTTTATATTACACAAAAATCTACTGCATGGATTGTTTGTGAGATTACTTTGATATTTTTTCTGTTTTATATTGCTGCTGGGTTGTGCCAATGCTTTTCTCTATATTCCAAATCATCTCTTTAGATAAAAGGCAAGAGAGAGAGAGACAGAGAGAGAGAGAGAGAGAGAGAGAGAGAGAGAGAAACACCCACTGTAAACTACCTTTCATAATTTCATGTTTTACATTTTTTTCCACAGTTCATATTCTTTCAGAGTATCACTTAAACAAATTTCTTTAAAAATTAGGAATTTCAAAAAAAAAAAAAAAACTTTGAGCTTATTTATGCTACCTCTTCCTAAATAGTACAACTTGCTTGTTAACTCACCATTTGAGCTAAAATTAGACCTCCTTTGAGGTCTAGTTTTATACTTAATCCATTATCAAGAAGTTTAAAAAAGTCTAGGGACTGTGTTGGAAATGATGACTTACACTATGTAAGTCATTGAAAAATTCCCAGTTCAGTCCAAGAGGGGAAAATTCAGATTGACCTGGAGAACCTAAAATGAATATTATTTCTAAGGAGAGTATCCCCGGTCTCTGGCAATAAGCATGGCAACACAAATTTCCAAGAGCTGGGTATCATTTTTACTACTAAAGTAAATACACTTTCCATTAGTTCCTACTGGGAGAAGAGTACCCAAAGAACTTCAAAGAGTACCTGCAACAAGCTTGTGCCTCTCAGTTTTGTTTAACTCGAAATTTCCCCACCAAACTCAGCCCAAACCCATGGCAAACTTCACTAATCATTAATGTTTATTAAGCAGAGCATTATGCCAATTCTGTCATGGTTTGCTTTGTGAGGAAAAAGCTCACCGGAAGGTTCTAGAACAAATGCTCAACTACAGACATGTAAGTTAAAGAAAAGTTGGTATATCAAAGAACGTTTGGCAATAAAAGTTATTTCTGAAGGCAAGTTCTTATGAACTTTAAATGCTTCAGGCAGAGTATGTTTCATAGGTTCAACACCTGTGAAACTAGAGCCATATGGACTTCCTGTCCATTCTGTATGTAAAAACTCCCTCCAATCCATACTCCCTGTCCCTCTCAGTTGCCAGCACCCCGGAGAGGGCAACATATTCTTGTCCTGGGTGGTGCCCCCTATGAGGACTTGAGAATGGAAGAAGTAAGCTAACTCTGGTCAAAGTGAAACAGCATAAACCAGAGTCTTTTGATGTTTGTCTCAGGAAGCAATGTACCTCCTGTGTGAACGACCCAGAGCAGGAAGTGGTGAAAACACACCAGGAGCTCACTGAATCGCTTCTTTTACTTCTTCTTCTTTTGTTATCTGATCATCTTGATAAAGTAGGACAAGCAACAATGATGTTCTGGGGTTTCTGGTTTACTGCTCTGTGAGTGCCACAGCTGCTCTTCACCTGATCTCACTGTACTGACATGTAACCCCCAAGTAAAATATGTTACAGAGGCACTGTAACTGTCTTTCTTCCTTGGTACCCAGCTGCATCCAGGTGAAGTCTTACTCGCAAGCTTCAGGAACTCAGGAGAACTCATGTCTCACTGTGTGGACAGTACTTAAGAGTTGGGAAAAGCTAAAAACTGTTAGCAAGGACAAACTGATAATTTGCAGTTGTAATAGATAGTGAAGGATGACAGATAATGACTGCAATAAACTTCAGTTGTTCTTTCAAAACACTTGATGTCAGGCCTGTGGGTGTAGGTCAGTGGGAGAATACCTTCCCAAGCATGTTTGAGGTCCAGGGTCTATATCTAGCAACACACACACACACACACACTCTAGTTAACTGAATACGCTTTGACACTCAAAAAAGGACTACACTTTAGCGGAATTTATTCTTGTGGAACTATTTATAAAAGTTTGCTACAGCACAAATTTACTGACTATAAGGAGAATAAACCCTACACACTTCTCAAATTGAATGAGAGCATTTTCTTCATTCAAAAGTTTATGTGATAAGCAATGAGTTTATATGGGTGGATGCAGATTCTCTACCACCTACCTACTAGGTACAAATCCCAGCAAGACTCATTTTCGAATCTGACTGATTTCCCGTAAGTGTGTGAAGCCAAACCAGTAGGTAGGTACATGACTAAGCAGTCACTGAGACCCTCCTAAGATTGTGTGACTCACCGGGGCTTCCACCATGTTTGGCTTGCTGTTCCTCAGGGTCTTTACTGCATGGAAAACGTCCACCACGTTTTGCCGCTTCACCATCTCAACAACAATGCCTATGGCACAGAACATGCCACTGCGGCCACCACCATTCCTGAAAGCAGACATACAGAGTGAGCACCTTTGGGGGAATCGAGTGTCACATCATCACATTCATCTGAGAAAGGAAATTTATCCTTAAAAAAAAATTGCATGGCACAGCATCACATTCACCTGGGAAAGGAAATTCATCTTTAAAACTTTTACCATTTCTTTGGATTCTGCTTTATATTTGTGCATGTGTGTGTGAAGGGCAGAGAGGAAGGGACTTGGGGATAAAGTTAGCACAGGAGCTTAGGAGTAGGAATATGTGACAGGCATAAATTCCTGCAATGTTGAGATCTTAATATATTTGCAACTGTATGAATCAAAGAGGTTGGTTGTTCACATAGGTGCTTGAAAGAGTTAAATCATATAACAACTACATAATTTTTATTATTTTATTGTATTGGTGTAAATCTGTGTACCTTATGTATGCTGTGCTCATGGAGGGCAGAAGAGGGCATTGGCTCTCCTGGAACTACAGTCAGGGAGGATTTTGAGCCACCAGGTGGGTACCGGGAATCAAACCCAGGTCCTCTGGAAAAGTAGCCAGTGTACTTAGCTACTGAACCATCTCTCTAACCCCAACAGGCATATAATATTTAAAAGAAAACAAAGCAAAGTAAAAATCAAACACAACTAAAATCAGTAGTAAATTATTCATTCATGAGACTCAAGTTCTAGTTTGGAGTAAGTAAGACCTACAGTAGGTCTCAATATTTGAGCCCCATCTTCTCAACGAAGCAAAGCAAGGCTACTGAGGAAATGAGCTGCGGTTCCTTAATGGCCAGGGCCAGCTGCTCTGGCCTACTCACAAGCAGTGGATGATCGTCCGGCCTTCCCCTTCCTCGCATTCCTCTTGCCATTTTTCCACCTGCAGTATCAGTTTCAGAAACGAGCGTTTGGAGCCGGGCACTTCCCGATGAGACGCCCACCCAAGGTACTGGAACTGCTGCACCATCAGATAACCTTCCTGAGGCTGGAGAGAAAACCAGGATTTTACGGGAATCAGGATGAGAATGCAAAGGAAATTTATACTGGCCAGTCTCTAGTTGATGATGGTCAGGTGCTTGTACAGAAACATCCCAAATTGTAATAACAAGAACACACAACTTGTCCGTTTTATTTCCTGTGATGATTTTTATACACTGTCAACTCCATAGGATCTAGAATGACCTTGGAGACAAATATCTGGGCAAGTTTGTGAAGAATTATCTGCATTAGGATAGTTGGAGTGGGAAGATTCACCCTAAATGTGGGCAGTAGCATTCCACAGGCTAGGGTCCTGCACTGCATAACAAGGAAGACAGCAAACTGAACACAGGCAGCCATCTCTCCCTGCTTCCAGACTGTGGAAGCGATGTGACCAGCTGCATTCTGCTCTGGTTGCCAAGATAGACTCTATGTCTCAAGCTACCAGATGCAATCAACCTATCTCACCCAATTAGCTTCTTGGTAAGTATTCTGTCACAGATACAAGGAAAATAACTAAGATGCTGTCTCCTCCTCCTCACACCCTAAACCTCACATTCAAGTCCTACTCTTCAACTTCCTAAAGGCTTTAAAATTATTCATCATGTCATCATTGCCACAATGTATGCAAGCTGTGGTAACTACTTCCTGGTGATTTCCTTTAGCACTTCTGTCTCCTTTCCATACATTCTTACTACAGACAGTAGGACTACTCTGAAGTTGAAAAAACAATCTTGTCATTCTCAGATCTAATGGCTTCCCAATGTTCTTAGGAATCTCTCTGCTGTGACTTAAAACTCCTGTCATGATCGGCTTCACCTCACTTCAAACCTCCTTTCCCTCGAATAGAACATTGGGTTAGAAGATACTCATCTTTCTTTAGCTCATTTGCCACTTTACTTCTTGCCTTGGGGACTTTGAAGATGATGTCCTTGTTTGTTTTGAAAACTTCCTACTATCAAGCAGAGTAGGTAATCTGGCCTGGGTTTGCCTGGGGAGTTTCCTGTGATGGCACAGAACTGAAGTATTCCAGAAAAGCTCTCTGTCTCTGAGTACCCTCAAATAATACCTGCTAATTCTTCAAAGTTTTGCTTAAGTACCTGTCTTCAAAAGTCTTCTCTGGTCACTTAGCTCTGTCTGATAATGCAATTAGTTCAGATTCTGTGCCTCCCCCTTGACACATGAAGATCATGTCAGTAAATAGATCTCTGCACAGTTAGTTCTGTTATGCCAGCCTTCTCGGACAAGATATAGATTCCTTAAAGACAAGGAACTTTCTCCTTTCACCTTAAACTAGGTATCCCAAGAGCTTTGAATGATACTCTCAAAATAGCAGTGCTGCTGGAAGAAGGAGAATCCTAGAACCCCAAATAGAAAATACAGAGAAGACTATGCAGTACAATGAGTAAGCCATATCACGGGGTATCGGATCTTAAGTTTCACATGAAGGGCTCACAGACAACCTCTTGGTATGACATAGACCCTATCTACTGAATATCCCTCTGGAATCCTAAACTCACAATGGAGGAAGTGATATGAAATAATGAGACAAAGAATAAAAACATCAGGTACAGAAAAAGCACCAGAACATAATATATGCAGGAAGAAAACCAAACCAATATATACCCTGAGAAAACAAATACAGACTTCAAATCTTGTTCTAGAATACTTTCCATAGAAAGAGCTCAACTCACAGATGAGTTTTCTCTCTGTAGTTGAACAGCTACAGTTGCTTAGTTAAAATATTACTAGACAGATACTGAACTGATGTGCAGATATAATGAGACTCCATTTAAACTCAAGTCGAAGATATGCATGAATATTATGACATGACTGAATTCATTCCTTTTTCTCGACTGGAATGAGTGATAGAATTGGTTACGAGTTTAACCCCTGTTTAACAAGACGCACATCTAGCCATTTTGATATAAGAAAATTGACAGTCCTGACCACACACTTAAAATCATAGACTTAAACAGAACTGGTGACTTTAAAAGCAAGGCTTTTAAAAGTGCTGTGTTGTGGGGGGTTACTATTTTCAAGTTCTGCTCACTATCTTGTTAAAAGCTAAATGGATCTCCTCTTTTAAAAGTGCTGTGTTGTAGGGGGTTACTATTTTCAAGTTCTGCTCACTATCTTGTTAAAAGCTAAATGGTTTTATTAGTACTTTGTTGGTTGGTTTTTAAGAGAAGTCCTTCAGAGTTGCTATTGTACAAAACATGGGACACAACTGTCACTGAGCTGCTGGCAAAAGGCACAGCAGTGGTGACACAGATTCCTCCTTTAGAGCTGGGCAGTGCCACAAGCTGCAGTGTTCAGAGCAGCAGAAGCCAGAACAAGGAGGTGAGAAGATTCAACAATAGCTGTGGCTGACTTCTCCCTCAGACTTGGGTTTCCCATTGCACACAGGTTGAGATAGTGACATGCATGTCTCCTGCTGTGGTGGCTGCTTTGTTATATCCTGCCCCCTCAGTGGTTATCATGATTATTCTTACTTTTCACTGGTGTGCTTTTTTTTTTCCTGTGTTGGATGTCGATATTAATAAGGTGTGTCATCACCCATTACTTAAGTCCAAATGTGCTCTAGGGCCAGGCCCAGACTAGGACAGCTGATTGAGAGGCCACATCTTTCCAGATGAAGCAGCGACTGTACTGTATCACTGGCTGGATAACCTAGCTTTGAGCCTTTCAGATTTCCTGAGTCTGGAACTAAGACATAAGGTGATCAGTGGCTCTGGCATAGATTGTGTGAGGCTTATTAATTTTTCTCCCCCTGTTGTCTGGATCGAATTAGGTCCCACCGGGATCACCTTCCACGTGTTGTGAATCAGGTCAGTTATAGTGACCCAGAAAGACTCACCCTAGTTAGGTTGCATATCCTAAAAATCCGACTGATCACATCGCAGTCCATTGAACAAGACATACACTCCACCTGGATAGGGCCGTATCTCAGCATCCCTTCTTCTGGCCAGTACTGAGGGCAGCCCTAGATGATTATTGTTTGAAAAAGAAAGAACAGAGGCTTGGTTTTGCTTTAAAGTCACATAAAGTAGGAAATGGATTTTGTTACTATTCTGCTAGAATGCATCCAGAATCACAAAATTAACCCGTGTCCACCAACCTGGGACAAGTCCACTTCATTTAACATCACAATGGAGGTACAGCCATAGTCATACACTAATCTCCAGAAATCTTTCACCGTGTTTGGCAGTGGATACTGTGTGACGATGAAAGCTGCTGGCTGCCTGTAGCTCTGTGGAGAAACAGGACAGTTGAGAAATATAAGAACATAAAATGCAAAGGGAGGTGGAGGACATGATCATATCTTCATTATACACATTTATGGAATCCTCAAAGAATAAGTAAAATGCACAATTGGTTGTACAAGCAGATTCAATGCACTCCATTGCAGGACCAAGTAAGCAGGTGGAAGTAACTTTCAATAGAGAAGGAGCCATAGTGGCCCTAAGCCATGGGGCCACTGGGATAGACTGGAAGCAGGAATGAGTAAATGACATAGAGTTTGATGCCACTGAAGTATTTGAGTCCCAGCTTTATTTCCCCGAGGAATGTTAATACTGGACAAACACAGAGGAGGAGGTGGATGAACTTTCTGAGGTGAAGACCCTCCATTGGGTACCCATTGGGTGGTTTCAATTTCCCAAAGGCAATGAGTCTCTGAAAGGCTGAAAGCAAAACATCTCTGTTCTCTCCATATGCATATCGTTTCTACGTATGTGCATACTGGAAGAGTCTTCTCTTCTTCTCCAATTCAAGTACCTCAAAATCTTACTGTTACTAAGTTGTGTGGAGATCATTAACATGTTCTTTATCAGGCAATCCACCTTCTGTGGTTGTAACAGCCATGTTTACCTGGTCTGGGAAATCTGTCAGAGTCATGAACTATACTAAAATATAATTTTTTTAACGTAATGATTTAAACCTATACTGGAAAGACTCTGGGCACATCAAGGATGGGCTTAGTTTTAGCGAGAGCTTGTTCTTGGATTATTCTGCTCTGTAGTGCACGCATGTGCACACTCGTGCGTGCGCGCGCGCGCGCACGCATACACACATACATATAAACAGAGAAAGAGAGAGAGAGTGTGCGCGCGCACGCATACACACATACATATAAACAGAGAAAGAGAGAGAGAGAGACAGAGAGAGAGAGAGAGACAGAGAGAGAGAGCAACAAAAATGTACAAGGGTAATCTGCTCCATCCTTGCTTACATATTTACTGAAATTAACTTTAGAAAACTCAAAAGGTAGTTGGACTGCACACACTTGTTATCCTAGCCCTGCAAGGGTAGAGGCTGGAAGATCAGGAGTTAAAGGTCATCCTTCATTATATAGAAATGACAGAATGTAGAGGTCAGCTTGGGTTACATGAGACCCGTCTTCTGAAGAATTGGTGGCAACAATTTATAAAAGCTCATATTAGTTAGGGAGGGAAAACACTCCTATATTTTCCTTGCTATAGTTTCATAGGTATAATGAAAAAGAAAGATGATAAATTGTCTTAAGGATGCCAAATCTTGTCCACTTTGTTGCTTCTTCTCAAGACAACAAAGCAAGATGGTTGATGACACAGCTTCAAAGCCCCTTCTTTGTTGCTCTGTTTATGGGCAAGGGACACACAGAGCACATGTGGGAGCAGCTGCAGGTAATGAGTAATGAGACAGGATAAACTAGTTCTTTCCTGATGAGGTATGTTTTAAAACATCATACTTCTCATGTCTTCCCTACTTACTTCTAAGCAGTCCCAGCTAACTAATACTAAATAAAACTAGTTACCTTTACATTATTGGAACACTGAGCATCATAGATAAATATTTCCAAACTAAAACCCGACACTTCTGTGGGATATGGCATTCTGTGATTTTAAAAGGTATTCCTGCTATTCAAAAAAGGTAAAGTATTAATCTTTCTTCTCAAAATAATTAAGATGAAAAATTTAACTTGTGATATTTTTCTATAGGATAATACAACTACGGAATTTCAAATCTACAATAAACCTTTGAAAATTAGAGTTGCTAAGGGTCTCTGGAGGTGCAAACTAAAATCCTTTTCAAAACAATTTGTATTTCATTGACCATTTCTAATTTTCCATTCTAGTCCATTTTATAATTCCATGAAAAGAAAAGTAGCCAGTGTTCAGTTGAGTTATGCAGATTTTCAGGGCATTTTACACTAACAAAGAGTCAGCCTCTTACATCCATAAGGGCAGCATTGATGTAGTTACTGCTCTCTCCATCAATTGTAATTAAAAAAGGCAGACATCTGTCAGGTGGGAGCATGTCCATGAAACGGTTCTTGTCATGGTTCCTTGGCAGGCATGCTATACTGCAGTCTTCAGCTTGGAGTCGAGGGGTGACCGAATTCAGAGTCTAAAAAGAAAAGGGAACCAAGGTTAAAAGACAGTGACCCATTTAATAGCATAACACAAATTCATCAAGTATTTGGGAAGCCAAGTGGAAGGTAATAGCAGTTGCTTCTGTGACAGGCCAATAGAATTTTAGTTAAGCTAACGAAGCCTGTGAAATGAGACAGTCACAAGACACATTTTATTCATATGTCTCGTCTCAATAGGAATGGACAGCTAAACAACATAGCTATCCACAAAACACCCTGCCCAGTCAAAGAAAATACAAGGGTGATCCACGATGGTAATGATGACCTTCACATGGGCAGCTACCATTTGCAATCACATTTTGTCATGCTAGAACACTACACCAAGGATCTAAGGTAAAGTTTCCCAGAGATATGTGTGAACTCGTTTTCTTCCATATTGAAGGTTGCACAATGGCAGTGAACACACTGGAGCTAAGGCAATGTTTAGTACAAATCTCAGCTATTATTATTAATATGTTGATCTCACATTGAGTGTGCCATTGAAGAGTAAGGCTCCATGGTAGAAAAAAAAAAAAAAGGTTATAAACACCAAAAACATAACCAGATTTGATTGTTATAATACCTTTTTCTCATACTCTTTTAAGAATATGAACTCATTTGCCCTTTGGGATATAGCAGATATCAGCACATTAATAAAAAATGAATTCCCAATGTATATAATGGAAGACACAAATATCATATTCTAGTTGCAGAAGGGTCAAGTTATACATTTGACTTGAAAGAACTTTTCTAAAAAAGTTATCGGTGCCCGGGACAAATTGTAAAGGTTTTAATAGAAACCTTAGAAACAATACCTGAAATTCATCTTTGAGATGGGAGGAATTAGTTTGAGAGTCTATTCTAATCATATCAAAATATGCAGCTTTAAATTCACAGACAGGGATGGCCGTCTCTCCACATAAGCAAGCTTCTAAAATGGCATCGTGAATAAAAATGTACTGCTCCTATCAAAAGAAAAAACAGAGACAATTTCATACTAGTTTAGTAATGTTTAGTTTAGAGGAGATAGAGACTATACATCAAAAAGCAACTGTTAATTAAGATACCAGTTATTCTATATGATTTACTATTGATGATATATTAAAAACACAGTAGATTTCATTTGGTAAATGGTGGAAACAAAGGAGGAAAAAGACAGACTAAGGGCAAGACAATGTACCTCTGTCTGAACCATATTGATTCGGCGGGATCGTAAGGCCTTGACACAATTGTAGATGTCAACCACACCCTCTCTTTCAGCCATGTCCAGCATGATGTCAATCACAATGTAGCAGCCTGTGCGCCCAGCACCAGCACTGAGAAATTGAAAGAAGTGTGAGAAGCAGGTTTCTCTTTGTAAGCTTCAGTCTCTATTCTACCTTGAGCTACACGAAGTCAAATTGAGTTAACAAAATACAAACACATAATTCTTTATGCTACACAAAAACATAGTAATGCACAAATAAGTATGTATGTCTGTGTTGGTGTGGTCCACTTAGATTGGAAGGAGAGTTGCAAACTATTTCCACACTGAACATAATGTCTACATATTGCGCAAGGTCCTCACCTCTATCACCTATCATGTGGCCCTCATTTCATGCGAATTTAAATGTTATAATTTTATATTATTTTATAATTTCACACTCATGGGACTGAAACTGTTCTGGAATCAAGCTATAAAATTGAACTCGACACTGAATTTCTTCCTTCACGCTCCTGTAGTCAGTTGTCTAACAGCAGGAGGAGCCTGACTGTCTCAGCAGGACTCATGTAAACACCAAGGCCACTGATCCCAAAGCCTTCACACAGGAAATGCCAAAGGAGAAGAGTGAGTGATACTACCCCGAGAGGAAGAGCCCCAAAAGAGAAAACAATATTTAATGCTGTCTGAAGGGAAGCTAAAACTGCTCTGTGAAATGCAGAGTGTTATTTCTCTCAGGTCACAGTGACAGCCACCCTCTAAAAGTTTATTCTACACACTTACTTTAGCATTTTCACTGTATGAGCATTTCGCCTGCGTGTATGTATGTTTACCATATGTGTGCCTGATGCCAGTGGACATCACAAGAGGGCACTGGACACCTGGGACTGCAGTTACAGACAGTTGTGAGCTGCTCCGTGGGTTCTGAGAATTGAACCCGAGTCCTCTGCTTTTCATTTGTAAAGCAGAATCACAGTCTGCTTTGATTATTTTGCCCTTTAGAAAGTTTACAGGCAGTAAAATAGGCAACACAACTTAGGGGTGGTGACGGGCAGGGGAGAGAGTTGAGGGATTCACTAGCCAGTTTCTTCTTTTCTATACATGCACAGAAGACAGTACGAGCAGGGAAATGGCAATTCTGTTTCTGGGAACCAGAGATTCCAGAGCCCCTTTGAAGCAGCAATTCCAGAGAATACAAACCCCCATGATGAATCAAGAAGTCACTGAATTCAAAACCTATTTATTTCACTTAATAAACGTTTATCTGGGGTACTGGCACTATTTCTTTGTTATCCAAGTCATCTCATTTACACTTGCTTTTCTTTTATATGTTAGCCAAATATTCACCAGGTATCACTATTTCCCCCAAACCTTCTTCTCCATCACTGTTGCCAGTGTCTGTGGCAGGAAAAAAATTGAAGAGAGTACATCAGATTTCTTGAAGATGGAAAGGACACCTGTTTTTATTTCCTTCAGGGTATAGTCCGTGTCTTATCCCTATGGGATTCAACCCTTCCCTCTCTCCCTCCCTCCCTCCCTCCCCTCCCCCTCTCTCTTTATTTCTTCCTTTTATTTATTTTTTTAAAGGTCATTGAAATTCTGAATTGGTTTGGTTTTACAGAAAAAGAAAGATGCTGGAGTTCAAGGTATGAAGTAGTTTGGAAAGAGTACTATTTGAGGATGGTGTTAAGCCTTCAAGAACAGCTCTTTAGAACCTGTACTTATTTTTCTGTTTCAAAATGAGCAATGCAGTTTGCTTTTAGTGTCTTGGGTTGCTTTTTTCTTTTCTCCTCAAAGAAGTTTTTAATCAGAAGAAATCTCGATTCAATATTCATGTTTTTGTCTTACATTTCCTGAATCTCAGCAATATGGTTTTTAAGGTCCTCTGCTGGGTAGTGTTTTGAAAAAGGAAAAAGTTACATGCCTGTTGTACAGCCCCAATTCATGCAATTTAGGCCATTTAGCAATCTCAAATTCAGCTTTAAGAGCTGGGATTCTAGAGGGAATTAAGTGGATTGGAAAAAAGATCTCTATTTTTAACATATCATTCTATCTATTATGGGATTTTTCAAAAGTGATAAAACTGGCCAACACTGGTGTGGCCACTAAGAGGTACTTCCCACACTTGTACCTTCGAGGAACACTGCATACCAGGATGACCGTGTGCACTCTGTGAAGTTCGTCCTACACAAAACCAATTTTTATTTCTGCTTTCCATTATGTGTAGTATAGGCAAACACAAACCTTGTAAGTGACATTTGGCTGTCATGCTGACAAATCCTGTCTGGCCCCTCATTTAAAGCTAGGAGCATCACTCACCTGCAGTGCACGACGATAGGCCCAGCACTAGGAGGGTTGGACAGCTTGACTCTTCTGATAAAGGAGAGAAGCCCTGTGGCATGGTATGGAACACCATGGTCAGGCCAGCCAGTGAAGTGAAACTGTTTGACTTCACGGATTTCGTTATAGCCCCTCTGTACAAAGATAGAAAAAGGTGCCTTAGACAGCATCCATAGAAAGTCACAAAATATACTTACAGGAACTAAATTTGAGTGACCATGAAAACAAAATTTACTAAATTTTGTTTTGTTTTGTTATTTTAAAGGATAACTGATCTAGCTGGGCAGTGGTGGAGAACATCTTTAATCCCAGTACTTGGGAGGAAGAGACAGGAGGATCTCTATGCGTTCAAGGCCAGCCTGGTCTACAGAGTGAGTGCCAGGTCAGGCTCCAAAGCTACACAGAGAAGCCCTGTCTCGAAAACAAACAAAACAAACAAAACAAAGCAAAACAAAACAAACAAACCAAAAAAAAAACCCCAACTAAACAAACAAAAACCAACCAAGCAAGCAAAAAAAGATACTGGTCTAACGTGGCTTGAGACCTTAACCTTTCCCACCAGAGAACTGCCAGGAAAAAAACGTTTTGTTCTCTTCCTGGGTAAATTTTTATTTGCCTTGACAGCTTGCTTCTTACTGGGAGTGACACCACATGAAATTATGGGGGAAGGGGAGGAACAAAGAAGAAATGGAAAGGCCTTCCTGACCTTGTGCCCTGAGTTCTCAAGTGGAGATTTCAATACCTTGCTTATCCATGTTGAAAATGGTTTTGAAGCATAGTATGTAGGGATTTTCCAGGACAGTGCCACACTAGATTGGTTTGTGAAAATACACAGGCAACTAAACTGTTCTCTGGGTAAATGGTTTTTCTCAGCTCTGTGAAATAATTTGGCTCACCAAGTATTATCTATAGTAACAACACAATAAAAAGAAGCGAAGCATCCGCTGCTGTTTCTCTCTCCTTCCAGGTTAATCGAAGAAAACCTTATAAAGGTTTCTACAAAACCCTCTCCCATTTCATAAGAGAAGCTGCAGGTTTGAGGAAGCATGGACACTGTAAATATAATACTGAAAAATTTATTTTTAAGGATCTGTATTTCTACAAAAGAAAAAAATCTATATCAATCTAACTTTACTGCAAGCTACCAGTGAAGATATTAATCTTACTTGTTCAATCAGAAAAAGCAAAAACATATGAACTAAATAAATCAATTTGAGAATGGCAGTTTATCTTCATAGCCTGTCTTACAGAAACCAGTGTTATCAAAACCTCAGGACCTAGGGATCACGCCTTATAATTCTTTTCAATAATAATTCCTAGCACACTATGCTACATGAAGAAGAGATCTACAAATAACCTTAACCTTAAATTTCCCATGACAAGAGTCATCCTGAAATCCCCAAAATGGGAAAATCACTTTTTTTTTTT